TATACATGTGTGTGTGTGTGTGTGCATGTGTGTGTGTGTGTATGTGTGTGTGTATCATATGAGGGGATTCTCTCATATACAATGATGTGGCACAATCTTCACCAAGTGAATAAAGTAGGAGAGAGAATCCTCGTAACTACATTTAATGAAGATTAGACAGATTAATGGGTATCATATGTCATATGAGAGGATTCTCTCATATACAATGATGTGGCACAATCTTCACCAAGTGAATAAAGTAGGAGAGAGAATCCTCGTAACTACATTTAATGAAGATTAGACCACATCATTGTATATGCGATGAGGGGATTCTCTCATATACAATGATGTGGCACAATCTTCACCAAGTGAATAAAGTAGGAGAGAGAATCCTCGTAACTACATTTAATGAAGATTAGACCACATCATTGTATATGCGGGAATCCCCTCATATGACATATAGTACCCATTAATCTCTCTTTATATATATATATATATCATACTCCCTTTAAAAGAGGGAGTACGAGTAAAACTTTCTATGGACAATTTTACCCCTAAATCTTATTTATATTTATATATTCTGATTCTAATTAAAATTAACTTAAATTAAATTAATAAAATTAACGGATCATTATTTTGTAGCTTTTACCGTTTCATCTCCACATCTCCTCTTTTATCATGATAACATCATATCTTCATTAAAAATTCAAAATCTCTTTCTTTTCTCTTTCAGCACTTAATCTCCTTACCTCTTCATTTAAAAAAAATTCAAATATGACTCTTCTCTCCATCTCCATCCGAAATTGACTCTAAAAAGCCCCTACTTTCAAATACCAACAACACCTCAAGTATTTCTTCAACAATACGTTGATCTGTATCGAGCCTAATTCTTCACCTAATTCCTCCTCCATTTTGCCCATGTCCATTTTATTATTTGGCACCGGTTTAATTGTAAGTTTGAACTTTTTATTAATTTTTTGGAAGATGGAAACCAAATGAGATTTTATGCTCTCTCGGTTTCCTAATTTAGAATAATATAAAGATGCAGCAAGGCGCCAAGATATTTTGGAACCCACCAAAATTGCTGAATACTTTTAAGTTTTTGTTGGGATAGTATAATTTGCAAACAACCATACTAGATATAATTTGTGTATAATTTATTAATTAATTTGTACATGTCATATACAGTTATTCAATTTTTCACACTGTACCAAATATTATTCTTAGTTTATAAGTATATGGACAATGAATTTACATGTCCTATCATACTAGGAATCCTTCTACATAATTGGTTTTATTTTTGGAAATTCTTTATCTTTTTAAGAAACCTTTAAAAGAGGGAGTATGAGTAAAATTTTCTATGGACAATTTTACCCCTAAAATATATTTATATTATATATTCTGATTCTAATTAAATTAACTTAAATTAAATTAATAAAATTAATGGCTCATTATTTTGTAGCCTTTACTGTTTCATCTCCACATCTCCTCTTTTGTCATGATAACATCATATCTTCATTAAAAATTCAAAATCTCTTTCTCTTCTCTTTCAGCACTCAATCTCCTTACCTCTTCATTTAAAAAATTCAAATATGACTTCTCTCTCCATCTCCACCCGAAATTAACTCTAAAAAGCTCCTACTTTCAAATACCAACAGCACCTCAAGTATTTCTTTAACAGTACATCGATCTGTATCGAGCCCAATCCTTCGCCTAATTCCTCCTTCATGTTGCCCCTATCCATTTTATCTTTAGCGCTGGTTTAATAGTAAGTTTGAACTTTTTCTTAATTTTTTGGAAGATGGAAACCAAGTGAGATTTTATACTCTCTCAGTTTCCTAATTTAAAACTATATAAAGATGCAGCAAGGCGCCAAGATATTTTGGAACCCACCAAAATTTGCTGAATACTTTTAAGTTTTTGTTGGGATAGTATAATATTCAAACAACCAGACTAGATATAATTTGTGAATAATTTATTAATTAATTTGTACATGTCAATATAGTAATTCAATTTTTCACACTGTACCAAATATTATTCTCAGTTTATAAGTATATGGACAATGAATTTACATGTCCTATCATACTTGGAATCCTTTTGGATAATTGGTTTTTTTGGAAATTCTTTATACTTTTAAGAAATTATTGATCTTTTTTTGTATAACTTTTTTATATCTGAATTCACTATTTGTAATTTTGGTTGTTAAAAGATTGATCCTTGAACTGTGAAAAACGATGTAGCTTGTGAGGATTTAGTCTAGCCTGTCCTTGTAGACATGTTGAGTTAATTGGTTGGTGTCGAGATGGTGAATCATATAGACATAACTCGAGTTGAGACTATATATTTTGTAAGAATATTTGAATATATTTTGTCGCTATTTTTCTTTTGTGTGTGGTTTCATGTAATCATGACTAGATATGTAAAAATATGTATAATACTTTTATCTTTTTGTTGGGGATGAAAGCTACCCTGTAAGTTGAGAATTGTAGTATGGCTATCGGGTAGGGTCTTTTAGGGCCCCTTTTTCGTTAGGAGAAGTATATATGAATTTGTATAGCATTGGTTAATTTAATGGACAATATTTATTGCATGAATCTCCTTATTGTTTTACTTTTTCGGTAAATATGTTTGAATATGTTTTGTTTCTGTTTTTCTCTTGTGTGTGGGTTTCATGTAATCATGGCTAAATCTATAAAAATTCTTATAGTGCTTTCAACTTTTTGTTAGGGATAAAAGCTACTTTGTAAGTTGAGAATGATAGTATGGCTGTTGGCTGGGGTCTTTTAGGCCCTGTTATTTTCCTAAAAGAAGTATATTTGAATATATATCATATTTCTTAATTTAATGGATCATATTTAGTGCATGAATCTACTTCTTGTTTTATATGCAAATTTTTTAGTGCCATATAGTTTACTTGAGAACAAAATATCATAATTTAATATTAAATCAATGATAGGGTTTGGTTAAAGAGGATGAATAAGTGGTCTTAATATTCCCAATTTACTTTTTTGCTATTAATTGGCAATTTAATAATAGTAGTTTTAGAATAAGCTCATTTTGGCACATTAAATTTCAATAATGATGATTAATAGCTTATGAGTCTAAGTGAATGGATACGGCTAACAGATTTTGTGTGTTTACATAAGATAATAATATAAAAAAAAATTAGAATCTTAATGAGATCACCCTATTTTAATGATTTTTTTCATCTACTAAAATTTTTTTTTCTCTGATTCATGGGCAATGCTTAATTTCTATTTGATCGATCAATTGATAAAGGTATAATATACAGTGTGTTACCATTTCATTTAATTTTTTATATTTTTATAGTACAGACCCTTTTATAAACAAATTTTATCAACATTTATTTCAAAAAAATTTCCTTTATTTTTTAATACTTAATCTTTATGTTTCCTTTACATTTTTCATTCATGTAGATTTTTTGAGTGCATATGGGTAATTATAAACCGTTATGATTTCCATTTATGTTTTTGTTAATTATTAGAAGAACATGGTATTTAGATCTGTTGTTGCATGAAGGGATATTCAAAATACTCTCCAGGATTTTTTACAAGTGTTGATCTTACCATTTATAAAAGCATGACTATCGAGAAGCATATCTTGGTACATAGGCATTTAAACCACAAAGATATTCATTCGCGAAGTCGTTTTAGTTGTTTTATATATGTAGAGCAGCGTAAAATTTACATGTAGAATAAGTCTATAAAGTTAGTTTGTTCTATGAAAAATAAAAATAACAATTAACACAAAAAAATCACTATAAGTGTGTCTAAAAATATTTTTATAAAGAATTATGGTTTTAGTAAAATTAATTATAAGTTTAAATCTAGAATTTTAATAACAAAATTATAAGAAAGAGAATTTTTTGCAAAATTTTAGAAGAGGCCAAAAATTCAAATATATTATTTCTAAGCCCAAAAAATAAAGAACATTGTTTATAAAATTTAGGTAGTCTTATAAATGCCAAAAAATTATTTTGAAGCCAAAATGTAGAGTTTAATAAAACACACATTTTAGATTTATTATTTAACCCCTATTTCAATCAATATTCTTCTTCTATTAGAAAATCCTTAAAATGATGTAAATCAATAGTTTTTTTTCAAATGATTAAAAAGTTACTAGGAATAACTTTTCATTTTTATTGGATTAAAAAATTTATGTATGTCGTACAATTACATGATTTGTTGATGATAAAGCTACTAGGAGTACATTTCTCCAAGCAATTGAGAGATATTATTCAAGTGAGTAAATATCATCTTGTTACTTATTATAAATATTTAATGAAAGTGTATTGATTATATGTACTGCTAAAAAAGTATTGAATCAATTAGATTGATAATAGTAGAATATCCATTCATTTAATTGCAAATTCTATACACTCTCAGCCTTAAAATTCAATAACAGCAAATCAATCAAATGGCCATCCATTCTAATTCACATGGATTTACTTAACAATTTCAATTAATTTCACTTTAATTTGCATACTAACATTATTAACACTCAAAACCTCTTTCAAATACTTAATTCTAGATCTTTATTTTTTTCCCCTTTAAGTCACTTTTTCTCATATTCTTTTTCAAAAAATAAATTCAAAACCTAAACAAGCGATAGTACAAGTTTATCAGATGGATTGTTTATTATTTATAATGTTATTAAAATACTCCAAACTTTATTATTTCCTGTGAAGGCAAGAGTTTGAAACAAACAAGCTTATACCCAAAGACATCCGAAAAGTTTTAATATATATTAAACTATTTGCCAACCTAATTATAGTGAATAAAAACCTAAAAAAAAAACAACCACGTGCAACGCACGTGCATCTTACCTAGTATATAGTATACATATATGTGTGTGAGATACGTCGTTAATTCTTAGTGAGGTCCACATAATTTATATTAGTAATTTGAATAATTTTGTCAGTTAATTAAGTTAGAGGCCGAAGTATGATTAAACAGCCCAAAAACCCATTAGCCTAATTCTTTAACCCTGCCCCTAATCTCTCTATTAAAACCCCTCTCTCCTTCCTCTGCCGTCATGCATTCTCACTGGAAGCCCTATCTTTCTATCAAACCCTAGAGATCTCTCTGATGGATTTCCTCAAAATCGAAGAAGAAGATGATGCCAGTATTGATCAGGGCTACATTGACCATTATTTTAACGATTGCATACCCGACGTAAACTGTAACAACCTCTCGACGTCAAGAGAGGAAAACTATACAATCATGAGCGAAGGCTGTATACGAAAAATCCAAGAAGATGACATACAAAAACTATCAGAAACACTATGCATCTCACCGTCTGATTCTTGCACGCTTCTTCTTCACTTCAATTGGAACATCGACAAAGTATACGAAGGGTGGTTTACCCAAGAAGAAGAAGTTCGAATATCTACAGGTTTGTTTCAAAACCCCTTTGAAATTGACAATAACGCTAGAAAAATTAACTGTCGAATATGTTTCGAAATATTTTCTCTCAGCGAGACGATAGCAGCTTCGTGTGGCCATCGATTTTGTATTGATTGCTATAGAAACTACGTCAGTGTATCTCTCAGCGACAATGGATTAGGCTGTTTGAATCTCCGATGCCCTGATCCGTCCTGTACTGCTTCTATCGGTCAAGACATAGTCGAGTCTTTAGTATCCGAAGATTATGCGCTGAAATACTCTCATTTTCTTATAAGATCATACGTTGAGAGTAAGAAAAATGTAAAGTGGTGCCCGGCGCCAGGCTGCTACTTTGCAGTGAGTCTCGTAGCAAACATTAATAAAAATAGCAGCGTCCATTGCAGATGCGGCCACGCTTTCTGCTGGAATTGCGCTGAAGAAGCTCACAGGCCTGTAGATTGTGAGACCTTCACAAAATGGATATCCAAGAATGGTGCTGAATATGAAAGCAAAATGTGGATATTAGCTAATTCGATGCCTTGCCCTAAATGCAAGCGACCAATTGAGAAAGACAATGGATGTATGCACATGACATGCTTGCCCCCGTGTAAGTTCGAGTTCTGTTGGTTATGTCACGAATCCTGGTTGGAGCATTCCGTCTGTAGATACTATGCAGCTGATAATAGAAGAGGCACATACAACAAAGAAGAACATAGGGATGAACATGAATACTACTTTAAGCTCTGGGCATTGAATAGAATATCGATGATAAAGGCGATTTCGGAATTGAAAATGATGCCAACGGAGAAGATGGGAGTGCTCTATTTTTTTGTTGAAGCATGGGAGCAAATTGTTGAATGTAGAAGAATTTTGGCATGGACATATGCATATGGATACTATCTTGCTGAGGAAGAGAAGGTGAAAAAGGAATTATTCGAGTATTTGCAGAGCGAAGCTGAGGCGAACCTTGAAGAATTGCATAAATGTGCCAAGATTGATCTGCAAGCTTATCTTAATAGTGGAAATATGCGAACTTTCGCTGAATTTCAATGTAAGCTCTCTGGTCTGACCTTAGTGACACGAAACTATTTCGATAATTTTGTTCATGCCCTTGAGAATGGGTTGAAGGAGGTGGATAGTAGGAAAGCTATGGTCAACAAGAGAGATGGAGAAAATATTGATCCATATGGAGGGGGAATTACTTCCCAGGACTATATGGATGAAGATGGACGTTAGGTATGCATTACTTTCACTTATATCAATCATTTTGGTTCTGATATTTGTGATGTGTTAGACTAACAGACACACAAGTAGATTGTTGAACTGTTTAAGTCACCGAAATATTATTATAATTAGTTGCAACAAAATAAAAAATTGTAACTATGTTTTGCATTTATGTTTTCTTATTGAAACTATGATCAGTATTTTGATTTTTTACCTACCCGATTGACGCTGTGTAGAGGCTAAGGATCATGTCTATTTGAAGCGAGTATTTGTTAGATTTGTAATCCATTTAAATTTTAGATTTCTGTTATGAACTTTTATTAGTAGTATGAAGTTTTGATTTTATTATGTCTCTACATTATTTTGAGATGCATTTCTAGTACTGTATCATATTGTTTGTGTTATATTATTCTAAGTCCAAATGCCAGTCGAGACGTACGCTTTAAACTTTGATGAAGATTGTTTCCTTGGGGTTTTAGTTTATGATCTAGCTGTTCTATTTTGTTATTCAATTTGATGAATTTCCGTGTATATGTCCAAGCAAATTACTATTTTGCTCGGATAATCAGATTAATCATATTACATCATAACTTAATTACAGGATGTTATGTTGTGCCTCAAATAATCAAATATGCATCCTCGAACCGAGTTCGGCATTTGACTCACGCTGGTTATGTTTGCTAAGGGATTGAATTCCTAGTTGTTAGATAAGAATAAAGTTCTTGTTGTGGATCTGCGTTGTCGTTTGGCTCAGAAACCTGCTCAATCAGTCCTTCTTCTTCAACTGTGCACCACTAAGAACACAA